ATCACGTCCTTGCAGTTCAAACTGACCCTGCAATCCAGTGCTTAATGCTTCAGCACACCAGGACTTCATAGATTCCTCCAATATTTCCTCCACAGATTTCTTCACTATTTCAAGTTGAGGCTCAAAATTTCCTTCTGTTCTTTCCACTTAAGGAATGCTAAGAATACAAAGTAAGGAGCTATCCTTTGAAATCTTCTGTGTAACTCTTACTTCATCATTTCTTCTATTCACTTTACTTTCTCTAAGTGCAAGGGCAAGTTTCAGAGGCTCTACTGACATTCACATAGGTCTTATCTTTCTTTCCTGTCTTTTTATCTTTTGCTTTCTTCATGTATGAGGTTCTTGATGTCATTTCATAATTCCTCTGGTATATGGTCCAAAAGGTAGGCAGTTCAAACCCACCAGCTGCTCCTCAGAAACTCTATACAGGGTCGTTATGTGTCAGAAACAACTTGACAGGACTTAACAACAACAATGGTCATTATTGTTCAATGTGTCATATATGCTCTTGAGGTGATCTGTAAGTTACATAATTATATTATATGTGGTGGTAGTATGCCATTGAGTTGATTCCAACTCATAGAAACCCTGTATACAAGGCTGCAAATTATTACAGGAGCAGAAAGCCTCATCGTTCTTCAGCGGAACTGCTGGTAGTTTCAAACTGTTGACCCTGATGTTAGCAGCCCGACTTGTATCCACTATACTACCAGAGCTCCTTATATTATCTACAGTACAATGCAATGCTGATTTCTATTCACCTTCCTATATGGACAAGAAAAGACTGTGTGGGAACAAACAAGATGGCGGATCGAGTAGCAATGCAGTGAGGAGCTCTGGCAGCAACAACAGAGAACAGCAGACCAAGACGGTTCAGAGGATGGTGCCAGGTGTCATCAAAACATTCCAGGATAAACAGAAGCTAAGGGATTTTGCTAAAGCCAACCCTGCTATGAAAAACATCCTAAAGGAAGTTCTGTGAACTGAGACCCAGCAAGAACAGACACCAACCAGAGATTGACGTACATGGCAGCATCACCCTGAATCGACAAATGGAAGTCAAGAACAGAATAAAATTATAAAAGCAGAGGATCTGGGAGGTCAGTCTATGATCAACACAATTACAATGTGAAACAAGGTAAACAAAGAGAAACAGATCCAGGTGGTGAGATGGTCAGGTAGATTACAAGATAAAATAGACTGGAATATAAGGTAACCACAACGTTGGGGTGGGGGTTTAGTTCGGGTGTTGGGGAGGGCAATACAAGAAGGGTAAGGAGGTGGAAGAACAAGATAGGGGAACATTGAGACAGGTTTGCATGCCCTAAGTGAGATAGAGGTAAATAGTGATACATGCTCAACAGGGCTCTGTGATACAGGGATCTAGGCATAGCTTGAAGATGGGAAATAATACTAAGATGCTTGACTGTCTTATGAATAGTGGTTTCCCTTGCCTACTACTGTAAAATAGACACTTGAGTGGGATAGAAAGGAATGTCAGCAAACATGATTACAGAAAACTTGTAAGCCTGTCTTTAGCCTATAAGTGATTGGAATACCTAAAAGGGGTTCTAGAACTTGCCCAGTGAAACAGGCCTCTTTTGCAAAGCCTTTGAAGAGTACAGGACCTTACGTAGAATCCTGAGTCCCATCCAGAACCTTATAATGTGAGACATTCCCACTAGCAAGGACAAGCAGACCAGCCTGGAACAGCTATAGCACCAGAATATACATCTTCAAAGAAAGATCATCAGGAAAAACTCAAAATAAAAAATGTCAGCATTACTGGCCACTACAAAAGTAGGCAAGCTGTTTGCCAGGAGGCCATCAAGGCAAGCAATCAAGTTCCTTCAGGACAATCTCCCATCTAAGACTGAAACTCAAAAGGAACACATGAACACCAATGCAAGCTTGCTGGAGATCACATTCGTCTATTGGTGAGTGGAAGAGGGAGAAAGGCAGCAATGAAGATACGAGCTGACTTCAAACACGGTCCATTGACTCCCGTTGACGTGGAGATGAGAGAGAGAAGAGGAAGTGCTGGTTGCTCCAAAGTGTGGTGAGACCTGGGGACACCTGAGCCGAAGGACAAAGACATAGCCACAGAGGGTTAGAGCTGAGAGTGAAGCATCCAGCTGATATGAAGTGAGGGGAGATGCACAAGAACACCCAAACTTGCAGATAGTACCCATTTGACCCAGCCTCGATGGCTTGATAATCAGAACTCAACTAGAGGAAGATTATTCAAAAAGAAAAAAAAATTTTTTTATAAAGGAAACAAGGGTAAATTGCTACAATTTGATAAACATGACCTATACTTATGGAGGTAGTAACTCTAAATACCAACAGAGAGGGAAGGAGTCTTCACATCAATTATCAATGCTATCCTCTCTGTACACAGGGTAGATAGGGATGGGCAACTTAGACATTGGCTACCTAAAATGCAGGGTGATAAGGCACGAAGTGACTGGCTTACAGGGTTTCAAGAGGGAGTTTAGTTTAAGAGTACGGGAGTGGAGGGGGATGAGTCCCCATTGAACAGTTTTCATCTTGTCTAGGTAGGTCTGGTGAAAAGAGACGGGGATTAGATTTGTATGATTCAATAGTGAATAACTGTTATCATGACTAATTGCGACTGTCAGAATTGTAAAGGTAGAAGTTTTGTAACAAAAACAGGGAAGTGGTTAATCTTATAGTCCAGAAACAGAGGACCCTAGGACCATCAAGGGAAAAGAGCACAAGCAGAATTGTGGGACCTTATCCAGAGGAGCAGGGACACCAGAGACGGAGGCAGAGATGGGGTCATGGAGAGGAGGAGCGGCTGAGGACTCTAGATTCATGGGAAGAGAAGGAATAAGAACTGGCGGCCAGGAGGCAGACTTGTAGAATGTGCCCTTTAGAGGTGTAAATTATTATATATGCCTCAGTGGTTTTGTTTTTGTTTAAAAAAAAGAAAAAAAAAACTAAAGTGAATAGAGAAAAATACTGTTAACTAATGGTACATGGAGAATATTATAATCATTATAATGAAACAAAGTGTATGATTTGTTGAATGTAAAACTAATGATCTGCCCTGTAAACTTTCACTCAATCCACAACAAAAACCTTTAAAGAAAAAGAAAAGATTGTGTGCTATTGTCTGTTTAAAGTGAAAATGAAATATTGTTTCCTCAAAATAGCATACTTGAGTGCCTAACAAGTTGAATTTCAGTATTTGGGAAATATCATTATCTAGAAACCTCATTACCTAGCAATAGAGGTTGTCAAGTACAATCAAGTTGGTTCCGACCCAGCAACTCCATATAGGGTTTCCGAGGCTTTAAATCATCATGGGAGCAATATTTTTCATTTTTCTCTCGCGGAGCAGATGATGGGTTCGATCTGCAAACTTAATGGTTTGCAATCCAATGCTTTTCGTATGGAGCCACCACACTCCCAGCAATACTGGTTAAGTATTTAAAAATCTTATTTTAAGCAAAAGAACTCATAAACCTCAAATTTTAAAATTAAGGTCGAGCTGTCCCTTGAACAACATGGAAATTAGGGACACCAAATGCTTCTGTGCAGCAAAAAATCAAAGTACAATTTTGAGTCACCAAAATCTCATCTATCTAGTAACAGCATACTATTGACTGGAAACCTTACCATTAAGATATTCAGTCAATTAGCACTATATGTTATGAGAGGAGGTTTCAAAAAGTTTGTGATAAATGAAATGAAAAGATAATGGAATCTTTCTATTAACTTTGCTAGTGTAGCTGAAGCAATGGCTTCACAAATTTCCTCTTTTAAATAAATAAGAGCTCTTATACTGGAATTAAGGAGCTCTGGTAGCGTAGTGGTTACGAATCGGGCTGTTAGCCTCAAGGTCGGCAGTCAAAACTACCAGCGGTTCCATGGGAGAACAATGAGGCATTCTGCTCCCGTAAAGATTTACAGCCTCAGATTTATAGCAGCGTCACTATGAATTAGAATCGACTTCACGGTACATAACAACAACAATACTGGATTTATTTATCTTGAAATAGTGGGCAGCTGCAGCCACAGATCTCAATCTATGGTACATATCAAGCAATTCAACTTTTTCTGATAATGTCATGGACTTTTGTCTGCCTCTTGGGAGCACTGCCAGCATCATTAGTGGTACTTCTCATGAGTCCCAAATGTTTAAGGTTTATGATATTGTGCCAAAAAAAATAACAAATACAAGAGATGCAATTTACTGGAGAGATGAACAGCTCACACAGAGATACTTGGCATCACAAGGCTTTTTTAAAAAAAATCTGCATGCAAGTGGACCTTACCATTCAAACCCCTGTGAATCAGGGGTCAACAGTACTTTGCATTATACTCTGATAAATAAAGGAAGCACGGCAATTCATCTACCCATCTCACCAAGCCAGAAATCTGGAAATCATTCTAAATTCTTCCTTTCTTAATCCCTAAAGTTTAATTATCTACCATGCTTACATAGCTCTTAAAAATATCCCTGTATCACCAATATCCATTGTACAAGTATTAAGTCATAAGTTGACTAAGCCTCAAATTACAATTCTCAGATTTCTGGCTGACATCTTGTATTGTATTCTGTGCCCTACGAAACTAAAAGGCTGCAATGAGCTTATGTCAATGCAATATCAAAAAACCGTGTCTTTCAGCAGGACATACGCCTCTTTATCATATCATTATCCATGAAGAAGTGTCTTCAGTTATTCCAAAATGCAAACTTCCCCCCATAACCTACAGACCTAGATTACTATCCCCCTTTCTGCTAACATCTATGGTAAGAAGCAGTTATAAAATCTTAGAAGCCCAAAAGCAGGAAAGCCTTAATCCAGTTTCTAAGATCTTAATTATATTACAATTATGATGTTGAAGGAACAAATCTATCCACATGCTTTTAATAAATTTCTTTTGTAAGTTTTTACTTAGCCAAAACCAGTATTTTTCATTTAGCTATAATCTAAAAATACAATAAATTAAAAGAGCAAAACAATTACCTGAGGAGAGTCAAAAGGATACCGACTACTAAACTTAAACAGAAGTTGAAACTTTTCCCCTTCATATAAGGTACCTGGTGCACCTTCCATGTCTACAATCCACCTAGAATAAAAAACACAAAAATAAAAACAAAACATTAAAGGTAGTTGGTGTAAGAAGACAAGGGAATGAGTACCTCTTCCATTATGCCAGATACTGGGATAAAAGTTATATATTTAACAGCTCATGCTATCTTCCCAATAACTCTAACAGGTGAACATTAACATTTCCTGCCCTCTCCCCTTCAGGGTTAAATAATTAAACCAAAGACAAATAGCTAGCAATGAACAAAAACCAAATTTTAATCCAGAGATGAAAAAAACAAAAACCCAAATTTAGGTGTGTTGACATCGAAGTCTGTGCTCCTCAATTATGCTACCTTACTTTTTTAAATTATGACAAAAAAATACTTGCCATTTCAACATTTTTTACATGTACAATTCAGTGACATGATTATATTAAACATGTGCCACCAACACCATTATCCATTTCCAAATTATTCCAACACCATTAACAGAAATTCAGTGTCTCCTAAACAATGATTTCACTTTCCCCTTCTGCCTCCCCCTGTTGCTACTGTGAGGTCAAGTTGATTTCAACCAATGGTGACAAATTACAAAACAGAAGTGCCCCTCTAAGGTTGCCTGTGAAATTTTCACAGAAACAGAATAACGGATCTCTTCTCTTGGAAGCCCCTAGGGGGAATTTGAACCACAACTCTTTGGTTAGAAGTCAAGTGCTTAATTGTTGTACCACAAGAACTCCTTTCCAGCCTCTTGAGACGACCAATTAACTTTGATCTCTATATATTTGCCTATTCTAGACATTTCATTTAAGTATGGTCATAAATATATCTTCTTCTGTGACTGATTTATTTCACTCAGCACATTTTCAAGATTCAACCATGTGTAGCAAGTATAAGGATTTAATTTATCTTTATGGCTAAGTAATATTCTATAGTAAGTATATATTACATTTGTATTATTCATTCACGGGCTGCTAAGAGATTTCAGTTGTTTCCACCTTTTTTGACTATTGTAAATAGTACTGTGACAAACACTGGTGTTCAAGTTTCTGTTTGTGTTACTGCTTTCAATTCTCTGAGGTATATATATATTACAAGCAGTTCCCAGTTTATGAACATTCATATTTGCCCTTTAATGTTATGTTAATCTGCCCTTACTTTCAAATGATTGAACCAACTCTACTTGCAACAAATTTTTCATCACAATCTTATTCACTGGCTGCAGGAGGTTTTTGAACCACTTAAAAGGCATTGAGCTTTTTCTTGCACTACCCTAATACTTTAAACTGTAGTGCCTTTCCTGACTTACCTACTAATATGACTTAAAGACTTAAAGATACAAGTAGGAACAAATCTTGTTTATAATCTAGTGAAATGGAGATGTTATCTTATTTTCTTCAAGACTATTTGCAGAGACTGGAAAAAAATATAAATAACAACAAGCTAGATTCTACTGCCTTTCACATATTAATTATTTTAGAAGTAATGGGGAAAGCAGGCATCAGCAATGACGACAGAGAACTGTAGCTGCCAGACTTAATCTCTTGTATTCTAGAAAAAATTTGAAAGGAAAAAGGAAGTTAAGTTGTGGTCAGTTCACTTACTATGAAGGCTATTCAAGGCTCTATCTCCTCTTTCTCTTTTATGTTATTTTAAATTGTTTAATAGATCCAGACAGACTATTCAAGCTTACATACTTTGTTTTCATAGATAACAATCATAAGGACAGAGGTTTCTGAGTACATTCTGTTCACTATCTCTTATTCTTTTCTTTGAAAGGAGGGAGCGAGTAGAGGGAACAAAGGATAACAATAGCAATAATGGCGGAGCAGCATTTAGAAACAAAAGTAAACTAAAATCTAAGAATTAGTTTCTACATCTGTCTCCACAACTCTGAGACCATAAGAATTAGATGGTGCCTGCTACCACTACCAACTACTTTAAAAGGGATCACATTAGATGGTTCCAAGCAGAGTGGGAGAAAATGTAGAACATAACTCAATAAAAAAACAAAACAAAACAACAACTGAGCCTACTAGTCAGAAAAAGACTGGAGGAACCTGAGACTAAGGCCCTTGATCAACTAGGTCTGGAAAGGAACTCACCCTAATGGCTCAATTTTTAGTCAAGCAGTATATTGTTGTTGTTGTTGTTAGGTGGCATCAAGTGGATACCGACTCATAGTGACCTTTTATGCACAGCAGAACAAAACACTGCCTGATCCTGGGCCAACCTCACTATTGTTGCCATGCTTGAAGACCATAGATGCCGACATTTTGCCAATCCACCTCACTGGGGGTCTTCCTCTTTTTCTCTGACCCTCCATTTTACCAAACATGATATCCTTCTCCAGCGACTGGTCCCTCCTGACAATATGTCCGAAGTATGAGAGACGAAGTTTGGCCGTCCTGGCCTCCAAGGAACACTCTGGGTGCACTTCTTCCAAAACAGATCTATTGGTTATTTTGGTAGCCAAGGGCACTTTCAATATTCTCCTCTAACACCATAACTCAAAAGCATCAATTCTTCTCCGGTCCTCCTTATTCACTGTCCAGCTTTAACATGCATATGAGGTTATTGAAAATAAGAGATATGAGGGACAACAGTAGTAAACTATGCTCACCATGTGATGCTCAACCATTCAAAATCAAAAAGGCAACATTTCCTAAGGACAAGTTGAGAAGGGATGGGAAAGTGGGTGGAATGGAAATAGAAACCACAGGGAGAAAGTGGGATAAGTGTTGTTGCATGGAGGAGAATGCAATCACAGAGATGAAACAAGGTATATGATTTGTTGCATGTAAAACTGATGATCTAGCCTCTAAACCTTCATTCAATACACAATAAGAACTTTCTGGGGGAAAAAAGGATTTGATTCTATTTATAGCTGTCAGTTATAATTATTATTCATTTAATCTTATGCTTTTCATATGTGGAATTTTATTATGTTGAATATGGAGAAACAAAAAGAAGAGAGAATACAATGTTAGGGTTCTATTCCTCACCCCCATCCATATACTATATGGATATACAATAATAAATGTACCTATTCTTTGAAAGCTATCTTCTAAAGCATATAAACCCTTATTTGTTTTTAGAATGCATGGTAAACACCAAAAATGAGACAAGCTACATTAGACAGGCAGCATAGAAAACAGACGTCTGCTACTTTACAAGCTGTGTGGCCATGAGCAGGCTGTTTCACATCTCCAGTTTTAACTAACTTGATTATAAATTACAGATATGCGTTGTGCTGTTAGGAAGATTAATTACCTCAGTAGAACACCTAGCACATTCTAACATCAAAGTCAGTGTTGTTAAGTGTGACTCATAGTGACCCTATAGAGGGTTTCTGAGGAACGGTTGGTGAGTTTGAACCGCTGACCTTGCAGTTAAAACCAACCTTGTGGTCCAGTGCTCAGTGTACAGTAAACTAAGTATTGGTGGTTGTTGTTAAGTGCCATTGAGTCAGTTCCAACCCATAGCAACTCCATATAGAGTTTCCTAGGAGTGACTGGTAAGCTTGAACTGTTCATCTTGCAATTCAAACCAACTTTGTAGTCCAATGTATTAACCCACAGTGCCACACCAGGACTCCAAAATTAAATACAAGGGAGATCAGAGTTTGTGAAAAATGGAATGAAAAAAGAACTGAATTTTTCCATTAACATTTTGAAACCCTCTCATAACACTCATACAATACAAAGACCGTGTTAAAAAACAAACACATATTGCTCCCTTAAAACACACAAAACAGGTCCTATTGAAGCTCAAAATCCCTCTTATCTTTTCCCCTTGACATCCACCAGGTAGAGATATTCCAGGGAAGAACTAGTACTTCCCGAAGGTCTTTAGTTCTGCTTATAAGGCCATATTTAGGACACACAATGAATCATAAATCTATATGTAATCTATATACCCAAGCACAACTTTTAAATAATAGTTAAGTGACAATAGTAAGGTTGGCCCAGGATTGGGCAGTGTTTCTTTCTGCTGTGCATAAGGTCACGATGGGTCGGTATCGACTCAATGGCACCTAACAACAAGCACCCACCATCCGCTCCTTGGAAAACCTATACAGCAGGATCGCTATGGGTCAGAATTGACTCAACAACACTTTAACAATGAGTATCTCTTTAATCTTCATAACAAGCTTTCACTAATTAAAAAATAATTCATGTTCATTGTAGATCTTTTAAAAAGTACAAATAAAATAAAACCACCTAGAGATAACCAATGTTAATGTTTTGTTTTGTTCATGCTTTTTCATGGTAGTTATTTTGCAGTTTCCTATGTCAATAAATATGCTTTGAAAATACAGTAGATTGCTATATAGATTCAAAATCCAACTGTTGTTGTTATTAGGTGCCATCAAGTTGGTACCGACTCATAGCGACCCTATGTAAAACAGATTGAAACAGTGTGTAGTACTGAGCCAACATCACAATTGCTGCCAAACTTGAGCCCACTGATGCTGCCACTTTGCCAATCCATCTTGCTGGGGGTCTTCCTCTTTTTCTCTGACCTCTATCTTGTCAAACATGATACCCTTCTCCAGTGACTGGTCCCTCTGGGCAATATGTCTGAAGTATGAGAGACCAAGTCTGGCCATCCGAGCCTCCAAAGGAGCACTCTAGTGGTACTGCTTCCAACAGAGATCTGTTTGTTCTTTTGGCAGCCCATGGTACTTTAAATATTCTCCTCTAACACCATAACTCAAATGAATCAATTCTTCTATGATCTTCCTTATTCACTGTCCAACTTTTGCATTCATGTATATGAGGCTACTGAAAATACCATGGTTTGGGTATGACGCACCTTAGTCCTCAAACTGACATCTTTGCTCTTGAACATTTTAAAGAGGACTTGTGCTGCAGATTTGCCTAATGCAATACGTTTGATTTATTGACTGCTGCTTCCATGAGTGTTGATGGTTGATCCGAAAAAAAATGTCTTTGACAATCTCAATCTTGTCTCCATTGATAAAAATGTTGTTTATTGGTCCAGTGGTGAGGTCTTTTGTTTTCTTTACATTGAGATGCAATCCATATCGAAGGCTGTGCTTTTTGATTTCATCAGTAAATGTTTTAAGTCCTCTTCACTTTCAGCAAGCAAGGTTGTATCATCTGCATATCGCAGGTTGTTAATGAGTATTCCCCTAATCCTGATGCCACACTTTTCTTCATATAACCCAGCTTCTCAGATTGTTTGTTAAGCATACAGGTTGAACAACTATAGTGAGAGAATGCAACCCTGTCACACAACTTTCCTAATTTTAAACCATTCAGTGTTCCCATGTTCTGTGCGAACAACTGCCTCTTGGTCTATGTACAGGTTCCTCATGAGCACAATGAAGTGTTCAGGAATACTCCGCAATACTGTCCATAGCTTGTCATGATCCACACAGTCAAAAGCCTTTGCATAGTCAATAAAGCACCAGTAAACATCTTTCTGGTATTCTCTGCTTTCAGCCAAGATCCATCTGACATCAGCAATGATAACCCTTGTTTCATGACTTCTTCTGAATCATGCCTGAACCTCTGGAAGTTCTCTGTCAATGTACGTTGTCATTTCTTTATTACTTTTAGTAAAACTCTACTCATATGGGATATCAAAGATATCGTCCAATGATTGCCGCGAAGTCCAATAGAGCTTCATTATGTGTACATTTAAATTACATAAATTCAAACCATCACTGTTTATGGTTTTAATCATGAGCATATGAAGGGACTTCAAAAAAGTTCTTGAAATAATTCCATTTTTCCAGGAACTTTCAAAGTCCCCTCTTATGTTCCAGAATAAGGATGACCTGGGAACAGATCTTAAAGTCCTGTGATTATTTAGTTGCTCTAATTTGGATGTTTACACAGGTCTATTTCACACATCATGACTCCTAATCAAAGAAGGAGCCATCTACTCTCCTTTTGAAGAAAATGGCTTTGTTGGACTTTTTAGGGCAGAGTATATTCCAATGTGCCCTCCTTAGGGAAATTATGACTGTACACAATTTTATTTACATGCTATCAATCATTACAACTCAATGATGCTTTTTAGTGTACTTCCCTGACAAACCATTTAAAAATGAACATATACTCATATATCACTTTGGTAATAAAATAAATGAATATAAGTACTTAAAAATTAAACACTTACTGTGTAATTGAATTTTGAACACTCTTTTCATTTAAAGTCATCCCAGGAGGTGGGTCATTTTGCAAAGCCAACAGTTCTTTCTGTAGTCGTTTCTAGAAAAAATTATCAATAACAATTTGTACTTTTTTACACCATATCCTTCTACTTACACAGTCTAAAATCTTTCAATTAAATTCTATCTAAATGCACAAACCTCTTCCTTTATATCTTCTATATATCCTATGTGCTTCATTCTCAAAATTTTAATTGTCTTAAAATTCAATCTATTAAATATCAAAATATTTATAAATACAGGTATGAGTTTTTTAACATCCATTTAAGACATCTAACAACAAATGTGTCTGCAGCCCCGTAAGACTTTTTTAAAGGGAAAGTAACTCTTCCTTTACTACTTCCTCCTAATAGGGTGTGGTGTGGCACAGTAGGATAAGCACTCGACCTAAAGGTTGGTTTGAACTACAAGGCTGGTAGTTCAAACTCACCAACAACTCCTCTGAAACCCTATAAAAGGCTGCTATGAATCGGAACCAACTCGACAGTCCTTAACAACAACTACTAAAATGGTTTTTCAAGAAATCCTGGTGTGGCACTGTGGGATACACACTCGAACTGCTAATCGTTTAGGTCGGTGGTTCACATCCACCACCAGCTCCTGGAAATCCTATACAGAGTTGCTATGACTCGAAACCAACTCACCGGCACCAAACAATAACAACAATGGTTTTAAAGAACCTTAACCAAGTCTTGCAGCATTGGTTCATAGGTGGGATACAGGCAAAGAACATGGCTCTGTCCAGTGGGCAAACAGATGGCAGGAGCAGTGGCTCCAGGAGCTGGGCTGCACCTGCTGCTCAGGGAGTTGGAACAGTGGGCAGGGCTGGGTGTACTCTGTTCCCTCCTCACTCTGCTTCTGCTACCACCTTATCAGCAACCTTCTCTATCAGCAGCTCCAGTAATAGCAATGAGAAAAACTGAAATTGGGCTCCCATTAAGTTTTAATCTTGGTGTGGTGCTACAAGATAATGCAATGGGCTGTAAAGTTGGTTTGAACCACGAGGTCAGCAATTTAGATTCACCAGTCATTCCTCAGAAACCCTATACACAGAGTTGGTATGAGTTGGAGCCAACTGAACAGCACTTAATAACAACAACGAAGTTTAGTATGGTGTTCGCACACAACATACAAGTCATATAATGTCCTATTTCAGAGAACATATTGTAGACAGTAAGCAAACCTGTACATTTGTAAACACTGACACTATAGTGTTTATTAAGAGCAGCCAGTTACCAACAAAACATCAACTACTTTAGAGTGCCTGGATGCCAGAGTTAAACCAAAAGACCGGCGGTTCGAACCCACCTAGAGGAACATGGAAACACAGGTCTGGCAAATTGTTCCAAAATATCACAATCTTGAAAATCCTATGGGGAAGTTCTATTCTGCGCATGTGGGTTGAAATGAATCAGATTGTACTCAACAACACCCAACATCAATAGACTAGGTTTTAAGTGCTTAAGCTTTACTGCTGTTGTTAAGTGCCACTGAGTTGGTTTCGACTCACAGCGACCCTTTACAGGGTTTCAAGGAGTTGGCAGTGTGTTTGAACAGACAACCTTGTGGTGAGCAGTCCAATGCTTCTCCTACAAGGCCTCACCAGGATTCCTAAGCTTTAATAGTGTTTCCTTTATTGCTCTCCAATTATGAAAACCATAGTTGTCCATTATCCTTTAAGGCAATATTTAAAACAAGCTTTCCAGAGAAGCTATAACAAATAACCCTTTATGCAGAAAGTCTTTTTAAAAAGCTTAAATTTGCCATCTATAACCCTTATTGCTTTCGTAAGTAGGATCAAAGGCACACTACATAATTTAACCTTTCAAAGTAATATTGTTTTACACATTATTCATGAAAACAGCATACAAGGACTTTATATAGACAAAACAAAACAAACCCACTGCCACCAAGTAGATTCAACTCATAGGAACCCTGGAACAGGGTTTCTGAGGCTATATATCTTTATGTGAGCAGAAAACTTCATCTTTCTCCTGCAGAGCAGCTGGAGGGTTTGAACTGTCAACCTTGTGGTTAGCCGACCAGTGTTTATCCAACAGCTCCACGTGGGCTTCTTTTATCAAGCTCAGAGATATGCAAAGTCATGCCCATACTACTGTTGTGTGCTGTTGAGGCACTTCTGACTTATAGTAATCCTGTGTAAGGTTTCTGAGCCTGGAGCGCTGGTAGCATAGTGGTTACGAATTGGCCTGCGAACCTTAAGTTCAGCAGTTTGAAACTATCAGCTGTTCCATGGGAGAAAGGTGTGGCTTTCTGCTCCCGTAAAGATTTACAGCTTTGGAAACCCTGTACAGGGTCGCTATGAGTCGGTTCCGACTCCATGGCACATAACAACAATCGCTATAGGAGCACAAAGTCTCATCTTTCACCCAAGGAGCAGCTGGTGGATATGAACCATCAATCTAACTGCTAACAGCCTATTGTGTAATCTCACTATGCCACCAGGATTCCTTATGTTGGTACTAGATACCTCCAAAATGACTATTTTGCATTCTTTTTTTTTTTTTTTTTAATATTTTGCTTTCTTAGTTATACAACTTTATTATTGTCTTCCCTTAACATTAGTTGATTTTTTCCAATATATAACAAAGTAAATAAAAAAACACAGCAGTCTCTGGATCCAGACTTTCTAGAGCCACTAAGGCTATATGAACCCCCAAAACTACTGCCTTGAAGTAACCTTTTAAATCTCAAAACAAAAACATCCCCTGAAGTCTTCTTAAAACCAAACCATGCTGTTGCTGTTGTTAAGTGCTGTCAAGTAGATTCTCCAATTCATAGCAACTCTGTCTGTAAAAGGTTTCCGAGAAGTGGCTGGTGAGCTTGAACCGCCAACCTTGAAGTTCAAACCAATACTGCAGACCAGTGCATTAAACCACAGCATCACACTAGTAAATAATCTTTAAACCTCACAAAAACATCCCCTGAAGTTTTCTTAAAACCAAACAATAGTTTCACTGTTTTAGGAAGGTGTCTAGTTGTACACTGTGCTATTTTTAAGAACTTTCTAGATGGGATCAAAGTGACAAAAGCAACCTGGAAGCTCAAACAGGAAGCTAAAGGAGCAGGGAGTTTATGCTAATGGAAAAAATTTTTGGAAAAGGAGGGTGAGAATTATCACTTAAAAGATGTAATCAGGCTTCCAAGGCAAGATGGTGGAATAGGCAGACCATCTCAGAAAGGAAGCTGAACAGGAACAGCAAGAAATGCAGATAAACGGGCTGTCCTGGCACAGTGCGGCCATGAGTTTTTGAGGGTAGCTGTTGACACAACAGCCTGGAGAAATGACACACACTGGAGGTTGGCAGTGAGGAGGATGTGGTTTTTCCTTGTTCCACAAGCCCTCCTAGTAGCCAGGGTGTGGCCAGTCCCTAACTTTTCCTGCTCAGCAGCAAGTGGCACTCCACTCCAGCTCAGCCTTGGGGTTAGGTGCAAGGCACACACCCCCATCACCACCATGTCCAGAAGCGGGTGAATTTCCCCTCATTAAATCTTATTATTGACGTTTGTTTGGGGGAAGCACAAATTGCGCCCATACAATCCAGCCACATCTGTACTTCCTGCAGCTCCACCTACCGTATGAATATCACTCACTTCTGTATCACCTGACCCAAGACAATCAGCAGCCATCTTCAGGCAAACCCACCCTAAACTAAGCTACACAGCTAACAGAGCTGCGTAAACACTTCAAGTCTCTACCACATCCACCAGGAGACAGATGGTGAGCATCTGAGAACACACCAAATACAATAATCAGTTAAAGGTAAATACAATGATACAATGTTTCAGAGACAACACACAATATTAGCTTACATGACAACACAAGACAGAGTTCTTCAAAACAAGTGGCCAAAACAGAATCAGAAAATATAATACCAGAAATGATATCGAAATAACCTGGTAAGGAATTCAAAAAACTGATATTTAGGTACTTTCAACGGACTAATAGAATGATCAAGAAAATTGCAAATGAAATTAAGTAAAAGAGAGGTAAAACTTTGAAAGAATTCACAAACACATAACCACAATTTGAAAAAAATAAATGAAAAATCAGTAACCATACAAAAACAGCAAATAGAAATCCAGAAGATTAATACTAAGATTTCAGAACTAGATAATGCTTTAAAAGGTAAAGGAGTAGAAGTAAATCAATGTAAAGGAGAGTTAATGAGTCTGAAGGCAAATCTCTTAATATTCATCTATTAGAGGAGCAATCGGGTGTGGTGTCGTAGGATAATCACAAGGTAAACAGTGGTTCAAACCGACCAGCTGCTTCTTAGGAACCCTATACTGGGTCACTATGAGTCGGAATCAACTTGACGGCACTTAACAATAACAAAGAGGAGCAATCAGAAAAAAGAACAAAAAAATCTGAAGAAAGCCTAAGAATTGATTATGTGGGACACTATAAAGAGAAATCACTATGTGATTGGAATTCCTGAATAGATTTAAAAAAAAAAAAAAAAAAAGCAAAGAATTATTGGAAGAAAACTTTCCTAACATAATCAAAGATGAGAAGATATGAATTCAAGAAGCAAAACGAACTCCATATAGAACAGATACACCACGCCCCAAATCACAATGACATAATCAAACTTGCCAATACCAGAGACAAGGGAAGAATTCAGAGAACAATTGGGGGTGGGGGGTGGGGAGACAGGACACGACAATGAAAAGTTATCTAACAAAGAAGTACATGTAAAACTATGATTTCTCAGTAGAAACCATGCAGGCCAGAAGACAATGGATGACATGTATAAAACTCTTATAGAAAAAAGATGCCAACCAACAGTCCTGTACTCAGCAGAATTGTTCCTCAAAAATACTATGGCAAAAGTAGGCATTTCCAGATACACAAAAATCAAAAGAATTTGTAAATTCTTACAAAATATGCAAACAAAGGGAGTTATTTGGACAGAGCACCAATAATCTTAGATTAACATATATATGACAATCATTACCAGAATTCAGCAAAGTAAAACAAACCTCCAAGACTTCAAATAGGGAACCATTTTTGGT